CTATTGGGAAACGCCCCTTTCTTTGATTCACAAAACAATATGGCCCATAAAATTTTTATTGATTTTAAATAAGTTTTGACGATTAAAAATTCTTTTTAAAATATGTTTTCCCGTTTATGAAGTAAAAATCAGGAGGACTGTTACAATAATAACATTCAAATTTATACTGGTACAACTTTGTGACCTCATCGCTTCTCCATAGTTCTGATTTTACATCCAAGTCCTCTCTTAAGCTGTTGAAAACGTTGTGAGATTATTTTACATAAAATTCACTTAAATTCAAATTGGATGCAAACAAATCAGATAAAAAAATCTTTCCACCACAAAACCAACAATACAAATTGGTATTTATGCTTTTAATACATTTCTTATCAGTGTTTAGGATCCCCTTAATTTTGATGCGGATCCGGATCAGGGATCCACAATGGAAATTTCTTTAAGATTTATTGAACTTTTTTAACAAAAAATAACTTTCAATTTTATTGTTTTATTTTTTTCGCTTATTTTTATCCTAAAACTTGATGAACCATTCAGAAATGAGGAAATTTTTGTAATATCTTTTTGCGTTCAGATTTGTGTTTTAGGAGTAGAAAAGTTTTTTTTTTTACAGTTTTTGGTTGATTTTTGACCCCTTGTATCCGGATCCGTGGATCCGCATATTTTTGCTGATCCGGATCCGGATCCAGGAAGCCAAAATCTTGCGGAGCCTAAGCACTGCATTCCTAGTATCTTTTTAAATAAGCTGTAAATAATTAAAGGATGTTTTTTTTCAGCTAGTTGGATTCCAGCATTTCTGCTCATTTCAGAGAAAGCATGAGAAACAAGATCTGTTTATGTAAAAAAAAAAAAACACGGCATATATTTTCGAGGCGATTATAATTAAAGTATTATTTTGGCTTTCAGTGCTATAACTCTTTAGGACAGAAATCGTCACTTAATCGAGAATGCTCAAGTCTTATTATTATGTTTTGGGCTTAAGCGGGGGACAAAATATAATTAAAATAGGCAAAAGCCTTCGAGACGCAAGGAAAATTTTAATTCATAATAATAGTGATAAAGGAAATTTTATGCAATGTCATTTTTTTTGGGGGGGGGGGGAAATCCGGGAATAAATTAAACTTTTTACTATCGTGCTTTTTAACATCATAATACGATGATTTCTTAGTAACATGTCTGTAATGAACTTTACACAAAAGTTAAATTAATAAAAAAATAAAATTTTCATACCTGTTACGGGTGCTTCTAATTCTATCATCGTCTTTTCCGAGCGCAAGAGTGCCGCGCCCTCGTTAATAATCTTGAGCGCGGCATGCTCGTCTATCCTTCCCTCCAGGATAAAATGCTGCTTGAGGACTTCTGGTTTGGGTTTGTTGGTCCGTGGATCAAATACATCAGAGGGACTCAGCTTAGTGGAAGGAGGGAATGGTACACCTAAAAATAATTATATCAAATATTTTCATGCTTTCTTAAAATCAAAATTAAAGAGACTGTACGCGTCATTATAAGTGATCCTCCGCTTAAAGATGGCAATGCCCGATTTAACAGCACCCTTTAAAGCTTTGTCTGATCAAGTATGAAATTAAGATCAATTATGTTTCTTTTGACTTGTCTAAGTGAGGGGTGAGGGGAAGTGTGTGGGAGGGAGGAGAGGAAGTATGAGGTTCTAGGAAGGACCATTGAGGGAGTATGTGAGAGGGAGAGAGGAAGTGTGTGGGAGGGAGGAGAGGAAGTATGAGGTTCTAGGAAGGACCATTGAGGGAGTATGCGAGAGTGAGAGGGGGGCGGGGAAGTGTGTGGGAGGGAGGAAGTATGAGGTTCTAGGAAGGACCATTGAGGGAGTATGTGAGAGGGAGAGGGGAAGTGTGTGGGAGGGAGGAGAGGAAGTATGAGGTTCTAGGAAGGACCATTGAGGGAGTATGCGAGAGTGAGAGGGGGGCGGGGAAGTGTGTGGGAGGGAGGNTGGCGTCCTGGATCCGGATCCGGAATATTTTGGCGTCCTGGATCCGGATCCGGAATAATTTGGCGTCCTGGATTCAGATCCGGAATAACTTGGCGTCCTGGATCCAGATCCGGAATATTTTGGCGTCCTGGATCTTGAATATTTTGGCGTTCTGGATCCGGAATATTTTGGCGTCCTGGATCCGGATCCGCAAAATATATGCGGATCCATGAGACTGCTAAAAACATTTGCTGTCACACCGAAAATCTCAATCAAATAATAGAGATAAAAAATCGGTAAATTTTAACCCTATTCCTGCTGGGGGAAGGGGTCAATTTGACCCCCCCTGTAGTTTTTTTTTTACATAACTCAAAAAGTATTGGTTTGAGGCTGTGGAAATTTTCTGACTTTTCCTACATACCCAAGCCCTCCCTTTAGGCCTAAAATCGGCATTTAATACTAACTGCCTGAGTCCTCAGGCACACTGCCTGAATGACTGCTTTTTCCTGTAACAAACTAAATCTTTGTTTTGACCCACTTTCACTTGTCAGATTTTAATAAAATTTGGAAAGCCTATGACATAAGGAAACGGATTGCACAAGTTTTGCGAAAAGAAAATTGCAAATATTTTGCAAACAACCTGTCAAAGGAAATTTGCACATTTTTAGTTTTTCTTGATTAAATCAGGTTATTTAAAATTTTGCAAACATTTTTGCATATTTGAAATGGCATGGTCAAGGGCTTTTCAAAAATGTATAATTTTTCATTTTTTGAACAAATTTTTTTTGCAAACATTTTTACTATATAACTGGATTTTTACAAATTTGCAATTTTTTTTGCAGATTCTAAAAGTAGAGCACAAGAGCTTTCTAATGATGTATCATTTGTCATAGAGGGGGGGGGGGGGTCCCCAGCATATCCTGGTTTTCAAGTACCCCAGCAGGGATAGGATTAAGGACCTGGATACGGATCCAATTTTTCAGAGCGGATCCAGGATCCGGATCCCTATTAGCTTCAAAATGAATTGGGTCCTGTTTTAAGATGAAAGAACCGGGACAGATGTGATAAAGATTTCATAATGAATTTAAACGATGTGCCTGTTTAGTACAAAATACCAAATTTTTCATTTTTTATACAATTTTAATATTTTTTTCACGTTAATAGCTTGGGAACCCAGCGCTGCCCAGAATTTTCATAGTTACTCCCGTCGTTCACCCGCATTTTAACGATTTTACCGGGAAACTAAATTTTCCCTAAGCCAACCCACTCAACTTAAGTGAAACCAACCATATTTGAGCCGCGGCTCAAATTCTTTAAATTCGGCCTCTGATTATATTAATGAATGAAGGAGAAACAATGGAAAATCATGATTTTTGAATTTATGATTTTTGAAGAAATATTAAATCAAATGAATCGAGCAATAAATAAGATATATATTTTCAAGAATGTTTCCCCATAAATTGTTGCACTAAAAACTCAATATTATTTGTCTTTTATGGTCTGAGAAAATAAAAATTGGTCAAATTGATCAAATCAAACTACCTCTTTTTTTAAATATTTACGAGATGAAAATAGTTTTTTGAAAATTAATTTCAATGATTATACAAAAAAAACTTTAAAGGGAATATCACCCCCTCCCCTTAGTACACCTGGTACAACCAGTTGCTCCTTGAAAAAAATTAATAGAACTCACCTAAACTCTAAACTTAATCTAAAGAAGACCCATGCGGGTTCTGTTCTATACTCACAGTATATCCAACCGTAGATCTGAAATTAATATTTTTTTCAAAGGAGAATCCTAACTCAGATTTTTTCTTAACATAAAATTGCAGTTAGCACATAAGCCAATTAAAAATAACCTGTGGCAAGCGTCGTATTCACGGGGCAGAGGGGGGGGGGGCCGGATATGGTAGCTCAAAAATTGGTATCGAAGCTGCAAGCGTATGAAAATTAGGTGTATTTAAGGAGTATGAAAATGTAATTTAAATGAGAGTAATATCCTAACCTCAAAAATGACGAGCGATAAATTTGAGAATTTTGTATAATGACCTATCTTATTTCTGACACTGGTCCCATAGCAAGTTTATTTGAATAAATCTTAAATATAAAAAAATCAAGACAATTGTTAACTGTTCTTTAAGTCATAAATTCAGTAAGTATTTGTCATCCAAACTCGGATTACAACTTCTAAATAAAACTGCCCTCCATTAAACAGTAAACATTTATTTAACTTCTAATGGTGGACACAACATGGATAATACAGATTTCAAGGAAAAGAATCAGGTTCCAAGAATCTGTTTTGTTTTATTTCACTGTAATCTTGCAAAATGACGGTGGAATAAATGTTCGGTTGAATTGTTTAAAATCTGTGAATATTGTTGGAACTATGTGTGTGTGCAGGTTGAGAGAGGTTCCCCCCATCCCCTTACTGTCCTCTCCCCCTCCCCTCCCCACTCCACTCTTCCTCCTTACTTACCAGCACACACTAAACAGGTGCGCAGAACCCACTGAGTTAGTAAGGAACACTGCTGACATCTAACGGAAAAACTCGGAATTAGAAGCTTTCGCAATTTTCCCTTGGGAAAAGAGTTGTCGTCTTTGTAAAAAGAAATTTAATAGAATTATTATTTTATAATTGTCTAAATTTTTTTGCTAAATCTATTAGAATCATTTTTTAAAGCAGATTTTTTTCTTCAAAGTTTAAACATCTTAAGGATAGCAATTATCAACCATGATCGATTGAACCGATAAAAAAGATTTTTTTTTCTTCAGAGCGTTATATATATGAATTTAATTGAAATCTGCAGGTGTATTCATGGGGGGGGGCTATGGGAGCTAAGCCCCCCCCCCATTAAGTAAAATCTATGGTTTTCAGAGGGAGTTTGGGCCAAAACGGGTGCTAAGCGCCTCCTGAAAAATGAGAAAGAAAATTTAGTCCCACCAGAGGCGCAACTAACTGATCATTCAGCAAAAATAATTTTTTTTTCAACAATTTACTTGTACAGAAAATGAGATGGGAATTTTTTAAACTAAATGTACACTTAAATCAGTCATTTAACAATATTTAAAATAATTGTTGCTTTTATCATGGCTACATATATCTCATCACTTTCTACATTTTTAGCAGATTTTTTTGTATCATCATTTATCTACAATTAGGCCCATGTCTTTCTTTCAAAACACTATATTTGGCCCAAATATCAATAACTTTTTAAAAAGTTCAGAGACGACTGTGTACAGAATTTATACTATCTAGTTCCTTATATTTTTTATTCTCTGCAACCGTAAACTTTTGCTCTCTTTTCCTATGAATACGCCATTAAAAGATTGTATTTATAATTCAAGGCATAAAAGACTTCATTTAACCAATTGGAATCCACAATCCCCATGCAAAATGTAGATACAAAAGCAACACAAATTTAGATCATTTATAGAATTTCCACACTTATTTTCCAAACTGTTAAAGTTCAAATAGTTATTAGTTGACTTCTTTTAGTATTTTTATTTTTATTTTTTCGGTAAAATATGGAAAACGATATTTGCATCTTGTTATTGTGAATCTTGTGAATTAGTGTTTTTTTTAATCAGGCATTTTTCAAAAACTCTTGCATTTATATCTCAATGCATGAATTTGAGCTTGAACAAAAATTGAAATCTTTTCCATTGTTACGGGTAAAAATTCCATTTTGGAAATGGAATGACCCGCAAATTTGTTTCGTAAAGTGAAATTCCGGGAAAATTTCGAATGAAATGGAAAAAAATTCCGGATCATTTCCGTACTTAACCCGTAATCTGGAAATCCGGTTGAAACCCTGATCTCCCTTAGCTTTCTCTAATAGTAAGAACTAAACTTTCTCTATAAAAGTAAAATAGCGAAGCTTTTAAACCCTAACAAAAAAGATTTCCGTGCTTCTACCAAGTTCTCCAAACTAAATGTAAAGCAAATCGGTAGAAGGGTTCATGAGTTATGATCGGATATCCAAACAAGCAGACAGACAAATAGGTAGTCCCTACATATAGATATTGCACCCTCTGCTTATAAAACATGCAGAGAAAGTATGTCAAGCAGTATGCCTCGATCTCAAGATTTTACCAGATATTCTTATTAGAATTTTACTACAAATTACAGTTCAAATTTTTGGTATAATTTCATACCTAAACTTGTCAAAATTGATACAGTAAGAACTAGAGCTCTGGAATAGGAAGACGACTTTAAGACTCAAGTTACGACTTTAAATGAACATGCTACACATTAATTGTGCAGCGTAAACAGACCAATAAAACTTAAAAAATTATTAAATGAGTTTATACTAGTAAACCTTTTTAGTTTAGAACAACACATTAGTTACAGTTAAGTTTTGTTATCAGTCGTCTTCCTATTCCACAGTTTACTGGATCTCACTGTCTGACCTTGTCTGACCTGCAGACAGTCAGGCAGTGCATTGTATCAAGCCAATATTTGAAAATCCTTTTTACCAACCATACTCACACTTTTCTATGCAGAAGACTTTTCTGACATGTTCAGAATAATAAAAAAATTCAGACAACATTTAAGCAATTATGCAATTGAAAAAGAGTCTGAACTCTTAAGTTTAAAAATAATTGCATCTTCATTGTTGAAGGCAAAGGCAGTTGCACGGGCGAACTCAGGAATTTTTGCAAGGGGAAGCAGCACCCGTTTGGGCCTGAAAACACCATGGAAAGATAGAACCATAGATTTTACAATCCAACCTTTTAAAAATCTAAACACCCAATAAAAGATAAAAAATTTTTTAAGTTATTAAATTTCTAGAAACACAGAAAAAATTGAAATTTTATTCACAAAGAAAACAAATGTAAAATAGGTTTAGATTTTTTTTCTTATTTTTTTTGAGAATGACTTGGATGGCTATTTTAGGTATTAATTTCTGAAGAATCTATTTTATTGAAAATCCTGAGTAGGGTGGGAACCCCCGGCTACCAAGAGCCTCTGCTATGCAGTTCGAGCCTCCGCCAAACAGTTATAGAGCCTAAGCCATGCAGAATAAAACTAGCCTCTGTCATTAAAGTTTCCAACGAAATTTTCGTTGAACAAAATTCGCATTTGAAAAAAACAAACTCTTTAAACGTAACCACCTACATGGATGATTTTTAACGTCGACTTTGCGCTAAAACTCTGTAATTATACATCATTAAAATGTTTTATACAGTGAAACCCTTAATAACGAATACATCGGAAGAATTTATCAAATGTCGTCTTGACAATTTTTCAATGAGTTATGTACTATATTACGTAAATCTCAGTAATTACGAAAATAAATAAATAGCCATGAATATGCGGGAACAGTTTTAAAGAGTTCCATATAATCATTTAATTAAAAAACTAAATATCTGCAGCATTCCATTATCAGAAAGTGAAGAATACGACATTGGATGAATTCTTTCGATGTATTCTTTATTATGGGTTTCACAGTATGTCTCAATTGAATCTTTAAAAATTTCTTCACAATACTACGTTTTCAGTTCAACTACTATACATTGCCGGTCACTCCCTTTAAGTCTATAGTAACCATCTACTTATTTAGTAAATAGTAATCATTCACAGACCAAAAAAATCCCTGAATTTCCCTCATGTTTATCGCCTGCCCCTGTATGTATAAAGGATATAGATATCCACACGGGGATTCAACTCAGACAAATTGTTTAAAATATTCAACAAATTTTTCTATTAAATTCTCAACTTTTAAACCATCAAACTCCTTCTTTCTGTTAAATTTTGTCATTTTACGAAAAAATGAAATGTTAAAAGTGATCGGTCAAAGTATTAAATAAAAGCAAATAGATTATCAACATAGGGAATAGAATATATATTAGAGAGGAATTTAAAGAATCTCTCGGTATGAATTTTTTCAGTCCCTTTCAGTCTGAAAGGGAGTTCAAAGTGTACAAAACATGTCATGTTCACAAATTTTGTGCAGTAGAGTACAATTACATTAGTACAGCATGTTCCCTAGACTATTCATTTCAATTTCGAAATTTTTAAAGCTGTTAAATAAACTTTATGATGAATTAGGTGAATAAAAACCATCATTTGATTTATAGTTATAACGGAGAATCATCGTTTGTAAAGTGAAAGGCATAGAGTCGATGTGAAATGATCATTGGTCAATTATGAAACCAGCCTATTTCATAATTTGGTTTTCTTTTAACATTAATTTTAGATTTTCTATAAAATGATATTCCAGGGCCCAAAAGGTTATATAGCACAAAAATGTGAAGTACACCTGCAGTATGGAAACAGTACAACAAAATGGCCGTTTTACACTTCTTTCTAGTAAATTCCCTTCTAATATATATTCTATTCTCTTTGATTATCAAGTACTGCAGTTGGTGGCAACAGAGAAATGAACCAGTTACACGACGTCACAAGTGTCAAATATAACAAGAAAAAAATATTTCTCTTACATTAGTTGACATGTCTTCCAAGATTAAATAAAAAGTGTAAAATTCAGAAACTAAAGAACACATAAAATTGCACTTATCTTACTGTAAGATAAGCACTTTATTTTACAATTATCACTATTATTGATGATTTTGTCGGACACAAAAACTGAGCTGACACTTGTGACATCAGAATACTGCTGTACTGAACTTGTGACGTCAGAATACTGCTGTACTGAGAGTGTACAAATTCTACGTTGCTATCTATTGTTACTATAGAATCTATTTGAATGAAAGTGTAATTTTACGAAAAAGTACAGATTCTTTTCTTTTAGCAATTTTATCCCATTGTCGACCGTTGTTGTGTAAGTCTGTAATCAAGAATTCTAACTTACAGTGATAACCAGAAAACTCTGGAATAAGAAGACGACTTTCATACCCAAGTTATGACGTTAAATAGTCCAATAAGCATGGGACACAGAAATCGATAAGTATAAACAGACCCATTTTACTTAATCAGTGATTTAATAAGTGTATAGTAAAACTATTTCTTTGTAACAACATCAAATACACTCTAGCATTGCTGAAAGTCGTCTTCTTATTTTGGAGTTTTCTGGTTATTTAACTGTATTTTTGAAAAAATTTTAAAACAAATTATGAATTTATATTTTTCTGCAAAGAGAAAACTCGAGTTTGGCAATATTTTTTATCAACTTTTTTTCTTCAAATTTAAATGTTTTTTCTTTAAAACAGTTTAAGTTTATCTCTTCGTAACAGTCTAAATTTTATAAACTTTAGTTCGAAATCAAATGACCAAAACTATAACAACATAATTAAATGAAACATTTTCAGAATAAATATGGAATAACAATAGTTGTTAAATATTAAATAGTAAACAAAAATGGTGAAGGGGGTCTAAAGTAAATTTTAAAAAATTATTATTAGAAATAAACTTTGTTGGATACTTTTTATGAATACTTTTTGAAAAATCTTGTAAAATTCAATAGAATCTGACAAAACGGTTTTTTATTCAACCCATTGGTCTCGTTTGTGGGGTTTGTTAAATATAAAATAGTAAACAAAAATGGGACCGGTTTATGGCGTGTGTGGCGCTGGTTCTCTGAATTTA